ATTGTTGCCCAGAGCTGTGGCTGCCCAAGGAAGTGTCCAAGGCCAGGTTGGATGGGGCTTGGAGCAGCCTGGGCTGGTGGAAGGTGTCCCTGCCCATGGCAGGGGGTGGAATGAGATGGACTTAAGGATTCCTTCCAACCCAGACCAGTCTGGGATTCTAAAATAAGTAACATTCAGCACTCAGCACAACATCAAGGCACCCTCAGGGCTGCACACAAGTCCTGGTTATGAGAGCACAAAACTGGCAATCCAGATAACCCATCAATCTGAGAGTGGCCCTGCTTGGCAGCAAAATGCCCTCCTTGTATCCTCAACAAAGAGAAAACCAACAGCCTGAGCAAAGTGCTGATCCTCCACAGTGTCTTCTCCCTCACACAGGTGACCTTGAGATGTTACAAAGGGCAAGCACAGGCCAGGGCAGTCCATCGTGGCAGGGCTGTCTCACCTTCCCTGCGAGCGCTGCCTCTCTGGCTGGGGGTCATTTTGGGCACGTACATCATCTGTAAATTAAAGACATTTCTGTGAGAAGCTCATCTGTCAACAAGGCCACCTCCCCCTTTCCTCAGGCTCCGGGTGATCACTAAAGGAATTCCAAACCTCATTGGTAATGTTGCTGAAAACAAGCATTGCTGACACTCCTGCAAAGCAGGGGTGTTGCTCAGGAAGCTCGTGGTTGCAGGGGGGCTCTCGGGTCAAAATCCTTCGTGCCTCACACCTTACCTCACCTCCCTGCAGTGCAGACACAGCCAGGAGAGCAGAGCCAGCACAGCTCTTACTCTATTGCAGCCACAGGACCCATTTATCCAAAGCTGTATTTTTTAAAAGCTTTGTTTTATTGGTTTCTAACCCAGTAACGAGATCCCACTGGTCGTGATCAGTTGACTTGTTCAGCCTGGAGGAGACTGAGCTCAGCCCTCATCGGGGTCTCAGCTTCCTCCTGCAGGGCAGCTCCAATCTCTGCTCTATGTGAGAGCACTGACAGGGTCCAAGGGAACATCTGGAGCTGTGCCACCAGAGGTTTAGGCTGGATCTCAGGGAAAGGTTCTTCCCCCAGAGGGTGGTTGGCACTGAACAGGCTCCCCAGGGCAGTGGGGCTGCCAGAGCTCCAGGATCATTTGGACAACACCCTCAGGGACAGGGTGGGATTGTTGGGGTGTCTGTGCATGGCCAGGAGTGGGACTTGGTGATCTTTGTGGGTTCCCTCCAGCTCAGGAGGTCCTGGTGATCCCAGCCTCAGTCAGTCACAAATCCTTCTCCCCAAATACCACCACAGCTACACCACCACCATCTCAGCCGGGCTGAGGTCCCTCGAGCTGAGTTACAGCTCTCGAGCAAGAGCTACAGTGCACTTGCTGCAGCCCTCTGCAGAGGGAAACACTTCCCTTTCCAAGTGCAATAATTCCCTTTGGCATTTATTCCTTATTAACATTGCAGGAAACACATTCCCCAGCAGGACTAGTGGCAGCAGCACTGAATTTTAAGCGATGGTTAAGGAAGACTCGCAGAAAGATGTCTGCTTGTAAAAGCAAGTGTTTGTGCTGAGTGCCCTATTAAACAACAGTTATGTCAACCCACAGAGGGCTGACTGAACATCCAACACTCTGTTCCACACTTCAGGGCTTCACATGCAGCCTTTCCATTCTGCAAATCAAGGCTTCCTGTGGTGCACCCACCAGCTAGATCCGAATAGAGACTTTGAGGAAAAAAGGAACAATAAATGACAGGCTAATCTGGCAATTCAAGCCAAGTGAAGGTGACACAGAATCCTATTTGTTTACAAGGCACCTGGAGAGGGACTTTTCACAAGGGCTTGTAGTGACAGGACAAGGGGGAATGGCCAGAGGGCAGGGTTAGATGGGATATTGGGAAGGAATTCTTTCCTGGGAGGGTGGGCAGGCCCTGGCACAGGTTGCCCAGAGAAGCTGTGGCTGCCCCTGGATCCCTGGGAGTGTCCAAGGCCAGGTTGGACGGGGCTTGGAGCAACCTGGGCTGGTGGAAGGTGTCCCTGCCCAGGGCAGGGGGTGGGTCTGGATAAGCTTTCAGATCCCTTCCAACCCAAAGCACTCTGTGATTCTGTGATCCAAACTATTAATTTAGTCCCTCACACTTCCCAAAATTACAA